TAGCTCAGCATCGTGAATTCAGAGGCGAATGAGGCACAAGACCTGCCCTCACAGAACTCAGTCTGGTGGAAGAAATAGATAAGTTATGGCGTAATTTCATACCATATGGCAATAAATGTTTCTCCAACTTTTCTGCAAAGCAGACCTAAAAGCAAAGGACAATAAACAAGTGCCGTCTAGGGACTCTCTGCAATTGTGCAATTTTTTTTATGATCTTTTAACTAAAAAAAAAAAATGCCCCTTAAGTTATTTATTATTAGATAAAACCGATGCCCTGTAGAGGGTGCCTTATAACATCACATACTCCATGCTCAATGCTAGGTACCCTAGTTTGAGAAGCAGAAGGCAAGGTGAAGGAATGGACAGAAATAAGCTTGGGGTGCCACGGGACTACTCAGGAGGGACATAACTCAGCCTGGGAGTGGGCAGCGGAGGCTTTCCAGAGAAGGAAATTCCTGAGCGAAGGCTGGAATGAAGAACTGGAGCCTAGCCCAAGCTGAAGCAGAACTCATACCCTAATTACTGCAAGGCACTGGGCTGTATTTGAAGTAAGGCTCATTAAGAGTTTTACAGTTGTTTTCTTTCCCCTTCAACATAAACACCAGTGGACCAATCACTTTCTAGAAGGAAAAAGGAAAGGTAGCTAAAATTAATTGAGTGTGGACTCTATGCCAACTGTTTTCCATACACTGTTTATCCTCACGTCTGTCTCATTAGATTGATATTATTTACCCTCATTTTATAGATGAAGAAACTGGAATTCAGAGAGGTTGACAAACTCTGCCCAAGGTCAAAAATTAGGAAGTTCAGCCAGAATTCTGTCTCCAAAGTTGGTGTTGCTTAGCCTGTTTCTGAAGTGGGTGGCTGCAGCAACCAAGAAAACAGTGGCTTGGCCTCATGTTTCAAGGATGAAAGGAAAAAAAAAAACCAGAGGGTTTCCATGAGTTCTTGTGCCGTCTCCTTTGGTTATGGAAAGTTCTGGAAAGGGACTTCTGGGCTACTCCTCTGGCTGGCATTGCTGAATCTGGCCTTGGAGAAGTAAGGGTTCACGGGCCATCCTTGGGGAGTGTCCACCGAGGTCTGCTTTATAGTTTATAATTTGCTGTAAACAGCTTACTGTTCCTAATTAAACCTGTAGGATCATGCCTGAACTTTTAGGAAACGAGAACTTTTTTTTATGGTTCTCTTCTCAGTGGTAAAACTAGAGCCGTCTTCGGCTCCACGAGCCTCCTTAACCTGTTGGGCCCGGCTTCCAAGACTCTGGACTGTAGTCTAGAGCTGTGCAGATGCTGGTGAAAGGCCTGGTAAATGCCTGGGTGAAGGATTGCTGGTGATCGTGAGGCATCTCTTCCAGAGGGATGCTCTGTGATTCCATGTAGCAGGGCTCTAGGGCACCCCAAGCACAGATTCTCTGATGCCTTACACACTAGGATAGAAGGGAATCCAGATCTCTCGACTAAAATCTGCTGGCTGACAGTGATTTTCAAAGACACAGTTGCTCAAAATGACACCTTCCTCTCTCAGGACAGGGGCTGGATGAAACCCCCTTAGTTTGAAACTGGCGACAGAGAAATGCCCGGGTTCATGTATCTTAAATGTGATTTTTACTAATTGTGAAAGGAGTATGTGCTTATGGAATAAAATGTGAAAAACAGTGACATATAAACAGGAAGAAGAAAAAAGGAATCATGGTCCCACTGCCCGGAAACAACCACGATTAGCGTTTTGGCCAATTTTCTACCACTTAAAAAAAATTCATTGATTTTGTATTGTGGTAAGTACACTTCTTACATAACTGTGACTTTACAGCGTGGCATAGCAACCCCCATCTCTGGTGTTCTACACGTTCAGAGAAACTCTTCTAGTAACGAACTATAGAAACGACCACTGGAAGTATGGTCTTTCCGCCATTTGCATGGAATGGTGAGAACAGAAACACCAGTTCAAGAGAAGGGCTCAGACACTGTTCACGAGGCCTGAGCTGAGCAGGTCAGTCTGTGTCAGTGCTGTCCCACAGAACTATGAAGATGGAAATGTCCTTTATCTGTACTCTCCCAGTACGGGGGCCACTAGCCCCATGTGGCTACTGAGCACTTCCTGAGCCTAGACTAAGAAACCTAATTTTAACTAACTTAAAAATGACGTAGCTAGACATGGCGAGTGGCTATTGTACTGGACAGCGCAGGTCTAACACAGAGGATTTATAAAAGAGTCACTTGCTGGTCTCAAAGTGTACGGTGGGCAGAGACTGAAAGTTGGCATTGAGAACACAGCACCGGTCATTTCAAATAAGGACGGAACTCAGAATATTGCTCAGTAATGACAAAGGCCACCCTAAGAAAAAGTATAGAGATGGGTTCACAATTAGTCTCTGAAAAGGAAGTCAGTCATTAGCTGCCTTCTGACATCCTAGCAATTAACCAGTGTTGGGAGAACAGGTCTCTCCAAGCAGGTGCCAAATAAATAGGAGATAAGAGACTATAAAAATGAAAAGCCTTTTGGTCTTTCATCACAGGATAATCCAGCGCATGTGAATTAATGGCAAAAGGCTCAATAATAGCTTTTGTGAGGAAATAGGAACAGTGTAGCAGGATATCCTTTTTCCGCACTAAAGCACCCAATTCTTTCAATTTTATATACAGCGGAAGCAATTAATTGTACTAGAAAGAAATCCACAGCTGGCTTTTCCTGATGGCCCCATAAGCAACAAGCACTATTGTTCAGCTTCCGGGATACATGCACAGTCATTCTACTGCACTGATGAGATTCTTCTGATTGTTTAGTTTGACTTTTCCAAGGATAAAAACGTGTGTGTTAACCTCTAAAATTTAATTCTTCTCATCATCGCACATTTTCAGTATAACCAGCTGTCAGAAAGTTAATTTTTTGTTTGTAATATAATCCAAGCATGTGACTTGATGCTAGCATTTCTTCTGAACTTTATGTGACTGAATCATAAGTATTCACTTGTGTTTATTCGACGTGTTTATATGCAGTTGAACTGTACAGTCTCTGCTTTTGTGGTTAACATTCATAGTGTGGCTATTCGAGGACTGCACATAACAAACAAATAAGATTCTATGTCAAAACATTAGAAACTCAACATTTCAAACTATTGGCCTGGATAGTGTCATTTTGCCTTTTATGTGCATTAAAACACACTGTATTTCACCAATTCTTTTTTTTTTTCCTTCTTCTTCCCAAAGCCCCCTAGTACATAGCTGTATATTCTAGTTGTAGGTCCTTCTGGTTGTGCTGTGTGAGACACCACCTCAGCATAGCCTGATGAGCAGTGCCATGTCCACACCCAGGATCCAAAGTGGTGAGACCCTGGGCCGCCGAAGCAGAGAGCGTGAACTTAATCACTCATCCACGGGGCTGGCCCCTCACCAATTCTTAGATGTGCACTTTTTGACATTCTATCATCTCTGAAATTAGGATGTCTTACAATTGACGATATGTCATAGTTTAATTGACAGTGTTTTTCTTTGCTAGTTGTACATAAAATGATGCTTATGATCAATGATATGTTGGTTTTGATGAAATATGTGTATAGTTAAAATTTGATTAGTATGATGCATTATTGCCAGTGTAGCAACAGAATAACTTTTGTTATTAAGAATATTCACATTGATCAAATAAATGAAAATTTTGATTAATTACACATCTCACGTGGGATTCTAATTGACTTCATTCTGACAAATATGTACCTTGCCCCTTTCATTTTCCCCCAATCTTTTTATCAATTAACCAGTTCTAAAATGTTTATTTTTCTGATTATAAAAGCAATACTCCCCAGTGTGGAGAGAGAAAGCTTATGGAAGAGTGGAATAGCCATCTTTTAGGCCACTACTCTGACAACTACTGCCAACATTTTGTCTCTATTTCCTTTTAATCTATTTATTTGTATGCATATATATTTTGCAATATAGAATTAACAAATGCTTAAATATATCTTGCCAGATGCCCTGAAAGGTATATAAAGTTAAACAATAGAACAGCTGGCTCTCTCTAAGCAAGCCAGGGACTAGGCTCCCTGCCCCCAATCCAAGTGGCACTTTCACAGCATTCAGAAGGGCCAGGAGCAGGTTTTGTACCACTTGGTCCAGGGAGCACCTTTCACACGGAGGCGGACGTGAATGGCGCTCCTCGGAGCCCAGCAGTGTAGTCACCCTTTGCTCAGCACAATGCCTACAGCAGCAGCGGTAACAACCAGGCAAGGGAAGATGGAAAGGAGGAAGGAAGAGGAATGCCCTCTTTGACCTTGAGGGATAAAGCAGCCAAGGATGCATTGATGATTTGTGACCTCTCTTCCCCTCCAGTTGGTCCTTGACAACAAACGGATTAGCAGAGGCAAGGATTTCAGTAAGTACAATGGTAGTCCCAGGCTGGGGCTGCTATTTGGATATCTTGTGTATTTTGATACCCTCTAAATTGTCCTTCCCCAGGCTGGGAGGCTGGGATGCCCCTCTTCAGATGTAAGTGAATAAAGGTATGAAATCCTATTTGGGACAAAGACACAGGAATAGCTAAACTATGCAAAAAAGTCAATGAAACAGACCATAGAGAGAAGAGCTCCAAGAGTTTAGAATGGAGCAAAGATGGCTTCCTGCAAGAGGCAGTCCTTGGGCATTGCAGGCAGGAGAAAGGCATTAAAAGGAAAATGGACGGGGCCCATCCTACAGGAAGTGGAGAGACCAGGCTAGCAGAATGTCGCTGTCCATCAGCGGTTCCCAGATTTTGATGAGAATGGTGTTTCGTTAAGAACAATCGGGAAAAACTGGGCAAGATCAGTTGAAAGAGGGAATGAGCAATTAGGAGGATAGCCAGGATAATTCAGGTATGCAAGGAGGAACGCAGGTTTTAAAGGGGGTAGCAAACTAAATGAAAAATAATCTACATTTTACAAGAAACGCTGACAAGAATTGGTTAATAGTTAAATATATGATTCTGTCCCCCGGGAAAGAAATGAGGAAGTTGTTTTAAAGAGCAAATGGAACTCCAGAACTCAAACACTGTTTATTGAAAATGAATTGTTGGAATTCAAAGTCACTGATAGCTCTGTGTTATCATGTACAGCATCTTTTAGGCTCCAGTCCCATCAAGAGAAGTGCTTTATCATTAATCCTCAAAAATACTGCCATGAATCCCTCCCCAAAACCAAACCCCGCCTTAGTTGATGTAAATAAATGAGGGCAAACTCAATAGAGAACAAAATGAAGTATCAACTATCTTAATGGCAATAAACTCTGACTCAGAAACAAACGTCAAATGAAGGAATTATGCACGTCTTACATTTACTAGATTTTAAGCTTTCAGAGGACAGGAGTCCACTATGATGCCTAGTACATTCAGTCATTCATCCATGAAGTATTTATGGACTACCTACTGGAGTGCTAGGCAGCACGCTAGATCCCAGGGGTACAATGGAGTAAGAATAAGCCCGTCCCTGTCCCCTGGAACTTCAAGTCTTGCATAGGGATGGGTACCCCCAACACCTCTGACGGATAAACTAGTACGCCTGGTCACATCGGTGGCACCACATCACACCTAGGCATATGTCGGGATAACCGTGTAGACCACGTACAGTAGGCACAGCATGCTCAGTTAATGGCTCAGGATGCCTGAGCCAAGATTGTATCTCCCCTTTATCTCAGCTTGAATCTTGACCATGACACCTTGCCTTCCTTTGACAAGTCATTCACAAGGGAATCATGCCCAGCTCCAGATGCTGGGATTTCTGGACTACTCGCCCCAAAGGAATTCTGGAGTAGAATCAGAGATGGGTTTTCCATATATATATGTATAATCTAATATAATATATACAGACACACAAACCCCTATTGCACTTTGATTATTTTTTAACCAGATACAAACAAAAAACAACTATATAGATACAGATTATAATCAAAGTAAAATCGGTCATAAACTTACTGCTCTCAGGACAGAGAAAGGCAGGGTGACGAAGGGGGCGAACTGCTACCAGGTGGGGAAGGACAGGCTTTAGCGCAGGCGGAGTGGGAGCTGGGGTGGGGAGGCACGCCAGACCTCGAGGCAGTACCTGATAGCCAGAGAGCAGTGAGCAAACAACAGGTGGTGGTCCAGGAGGGTGGCAGGTAGCAGGATGTCCAACATGAGATGACGGGGGGAGGAGGCCTGATAAGGGGATAGAAGATGGACGCAGAGACTCTAGGAACGAAGAGCGGGAGGCAAATAAATGTTGCCACCACGGGTATCGGTTAGTGCACAGCAGAGTCTGTGGTGCAGGGCTGGAGCAGACTCCAGACGACAGGCAGAGAAAATCAAGTTCCACACAGGTTAAGAGGCCAGGGCTTCAAGCACAAGAAAAGGGCTGCGAATCAGTTCTTAGAAAGGAGCCAAGGCAGCGTCCCCAATTAAGAAGCAAAGGCAGGCAGAGGCCGAGTCCCGGGCTTGGGCCTGGAGCTGTGAGAATTGCGCCTGTCTTGGGGCCTGGGAAAGGACTGGGTTCTGCCGTAAGGGGAATACTGGTAGCAGGGGGAGGAGGACCATAGGAACCATAGCCTAGGGAGGACCAAGTGGTGGCTACTCTGTAGCAACTGGGGTGAGCACTCACTCAGTAAACCATCTTTTAATCCTAACAGACAAGTGCTTTGAAGCAAAGAAAAAGGAAAATGGAAACAGGAAAAACAGCAAGCTACAAGTACAAACAGAAGGATATCGCACCCTTACAAAGAAAAGAACAAATTTAGATTTTTAAGCTTTTCTCTATTTTAGGCACTATTTCCTTTTATATATAATCATCATCTTCTTAAACACAATTTCTGTTTTGGCTTGATCTTTCTAAACTATGATGGGGTATTAGTAACCAACGAAATGACGGAGAAGTGTTCGTGCTGAAAACAGTAGCTGTCTACTCCTCACCACACTTTTGTCCATTTAATATTGGGTGCGAAACCACCTTGAAGTGTCACCCTGCCAAGGGCACCCCTTCACTAGTCCCTCCCTACTGGGCTCCAACTTACCTCCATACCCACAAAGACTCACTGCCACCTTTTGCCTCATAAAGTCTTTACAACAAGGAAATGACTGTGGGTGGATTAACTGGGATTAATCTATTAAACTACTGCCTTCCTGAAGGCGGATGTGTCCACCTCACTGACGATGGTGTAACCCACAGCCTCCCTCACCCTTTTCGTGATAGTCGCTGCCACCCTCTAAAACTGGGTCTTGACGACAAGGTTCAGAAATGCTTAGAGGAAATTCTATCCTTCTCTCTCACTCACTTAACAAATACACTCCTCCCTCGCTATTCGCAGGAGATTGGTTCCACGACCCCCGTGGATACCAAAATCTGTGGATACTCAAGTCCCTCATAAAAAATGGCATAGTATTTGCATATAATATAAGCATATCCCCCTGTACACTTTAAATCATCTCTAGATTACTTGTAATACCTAATACAATGTAAATGCAATGTAAATAGTTGCTATACAGTATTGTTTAGGGAATAATGACAAGAAAAGGAAGTCTGTTCATATTCAGTACAGACGCAACCATCATAGCCTTTTCAATCTGCAGATGTGTGTGGAGCCCACAGATGTGGAGGACCGACTATAAAGACCACTTGCCATTTGCCAGGCACAGCTGACAGTGAGACTGACAAGGTCTTTGCTCTCACGGCGTTTACATTCTAGCGTGGCAGAGAAATTCAGACGATAAACAAATAACTAAATGATAGTAAAAAGTGGTATAAAGACAATGAAATTGGGGGACCAGCCTGGTGGCGTAGTCGGTAAATTTGTGTTCTCTGCATCAGTAGTCTGGGGTTTGCAGGTTGGGATCCTGGGTGCAGACCTGGCAGCGCTTGACAAGCCACGCTGTGGTGGCATCCCACATAAAACAGTGGAAGATTGGTACAGATGTTAGCTCAGCAACAATCCTCAAGCAAAAAGAGAAAGATTGGCAACAGATGTTAGCTCAAGGACAATCTTCCTCAGAAAAAAAGAAAAAACAAAGACAACGAAATTGGCTGTGATGGGGTGTTAATTTAAGATAGGTGATCAGAGAGGGTGTCCTAGAGGATCTGAGAACTGCATGGGAAGGGTCGTTTTCCATTCCAAACTAATGCTTCGTGATTGGGCATGCAACTACCACTCTTGGGACCTATACCTCAAACTAACTCTGCAGAGGAAAAAAGTCCCATTTTCAGCCCGTTCTATTAACCTACTTAAAGGAAAACCATCACATTAGAGAATGTTAAATTTGGACCTTGAGGTGTTGCCTTTGTGCCTGGCACATTCTTTTTCTTCCCTCTTTGTTTTTGCGCACAGTTTAAAAAGCGATTTTTATAAGAGCACCTCATGTCCATCCATGTCCAAAAGTCTCCGTGGGCTTCCTGGCTGCCCCGTTCATTTAATGGGCAGGCAGACGGCAGAAACAGGCTGGCACACACACACACGCCAGGCACCAGAGAGAACAGCAGGCCCTGCTCAGTTGTTGGCTCGTAGGTTGCCCGCTGTGATAACACTAAGGATTGAAGCCTGGGCACCAGGTGGGCCTTACCCAAGAGGAGCAAAAGGATGTCAAGTAAAATCCCCAAAGACTTGAAAAGGAGATCCTCTCGGAGAGAAGCAAAGATACCAGGAGTAAAATTCAATGCCTCAATTTTGCTCTCATTTCTATAGTGACATATAACACAACCCAGACAACACTGATTTGTACATTTCAGAAACTTGACGTTCACTAACGTTCCAATCTGAGATTCTTGTCTATTTCATAGACTGATTCATGTCTGAAAATGGAACTAGGTTGCAGATGTTATATTAACATACTTGTCATGGTTTTATCTGTCCTGACACATTGCTCAGCATACATCAATGAGTTATTTGGCGAATCAGCTTGACTCTCCTCGAGCAAAAGTTCCACCCTTTCTCCTAAAATTAAAGCAGAGTACTACGTAGAAAACTTGAAAAAGAAAAGTGACAAATTTTAGTGGATGCAAGGAAACTCACGTATCACAGATTCTTCCTGCATAGCAACATACTGTAACCCATGACTCTCAAACCTGAGACAGCTGGAGTTCAGAAAAAAAAAATTAGAGAAGAAAACAGAATTTAAAAAATTCAGAATTATGGACTGTATTTGAGATATTAAGAGCAAATTTACCTTCCTAGGTAAAAGGAAGAGAAAAAGGGGATAGAATATAAGATGGTCAAAAAAATCTTTAAACAAGAATGTAAGGGAATTTAGACATTTAAACAAGAATATAAGAGAATACTCCAGAAACTAAGCATCTCTTTAGGGAGACTGTGTGTAAAAACAAATATCATTGGCACATTCTTTTTCTTCCCTCTTTGTTTTTGCGCACAGTTTAAAAAGCGATTTTTATAAGAGCACCTCAAAAAAAAAGATGATGTTTTGCAAAGTGATATAATTTAACACAATATATCCGTTGAAATACTTACCAAAGAGATTAAGGTCACATTTGGCTGTTAAAAAGGGGGCCTATACTCTTTCTTCCCATGCAGGACGTGAAATACTTTTTACCAGCATTTCCCACAAAGAATGAGGAGAAATGGAAGAAAAGAGGTCGTGCCAATTATTTACATTTTCCAAATTGGAGGGCCCGAGCCTCCGGAGGGGACACGAGGTCACCAGAGTGAGCCAAAGGCAGAGAAGGCAGCAGAATCCATAGTCCGCTGACTTCAGATCTGCGGGGCACGCCGCTCCTCTCCTGCCTCCGGACTGCACGCGCCGCAGGTCGCGGGGCCCCGGGCCGGACGCCCGCCCCGACGCGCGATGCTTCGGTGCCCGCACCTCCCTACCTGCGCCCCGGCACGCCGGCAGCGGGCCCGCAGAGAGGAGCCGGGCAGCGGCGGGTGAAGGATGGATGCGCAGGGGCCGCGTTTTCCCTTTGTCGCCAAGACTACTCCCACGACCCGACAATGCCCCGCGCGGCGCGTGAGTTCCGAGCGATCGGGCTCATTGCATGAGCCGGGTGCCCAGCGCGCACGGGGAGTCTTAAAGCGTGTCGGGGAAGGGTCTCCGCGGACGACTCCGGGAGAGGGCCCGCCCGGTGTGCGTCCCGCTGGCGCGGCGTCTGCTCCGCGCGGCTTCCGGAGACCAGCCGGCCCCGCCGAGGCGGCGGCGGTGGGGCTGCGGGGGTAGGAGGGGCCGGCGGGACCGCGCGCAGGAGAAGCCCGCCCGTCACCCTCCCGCCCCCGGCAGCCCGGCGCCCCCTTGCCGCCGGCCCGCCCTCCTCCCCGGCAGCGGGGCGCCTGGCCCAGCCGACCCTTCGGGCGCTTCCGCCGCGCACTCGGCTCCTTTCGCGTCCGGGGCGGGGCGGGGCGGGCCGGCGAGGGGCCAGTGCGCGCGCGCGGCGCCGAGGCCCGCCCCGCCCCCAGACCCCGGCCAGGCCGCCCCCACCGTGCGAGTGTCGGCGGCGGCGGCTGCCGAGATTGGAATCCGCCTGCTGGCGCTCGGTGGGAGGAGGGAGGAGGGAGGAGGGAGGAGGAGGAGGGCCGGCAGGAAGGCTCGGGCTCCGGCGCGTCCGTCCGCGCGAGACGACGATCGCACGGCCGCGCGAGGGGCGACCGGGCCGGGCCGCTGCACGCCGAGGGCGGAGGCCGAGCCGGCCCCCGCGCGCCCCGGCGGCTCGCCGCGCGCCCCCGCTCCGCGCCGAGGGCTGGAGGATGAGTTCCCCGGGGTGCGGGTGAGTTGGCTCGTCCGGAGAGTGCGTGTGCGCGCGCGGCCAAGTTTCGGGGGGCCGGGCGCGCGCGGGCGCGCGCGCGGGGGCATCGCTGCGGGGAGGCTCGGGCCGTGAGCTCCGCTGGGGCCCCAGCGCGTCAGGCCGCGGCCGACTGGGCCCCGCGCCCCCCGCCCCGGGCCGCGCCGCGCCGCGCCCCCCGGCCCGGCCGCCCGACGTCGGGCCCCGGCTGCCTCCCGCGGCCGCCCCGCCGCCCGGCCCCTCTTTTGTTCCCCATCCCGGGTTTCAGGCCGAGTTCGGGGAGGCGGTGTGGGCGAAAGGCGCCTCCAAGGACGCTTCTCGAATCCTTAAATGGGAAAGGCGCTCGCCTCACTCGCCTGGGAGCGGCGAGCTTGGTATTCGTGATCAGTCTGTGTACGCTGCTGCTGCTTCTGCAAAAAAAAAAAAAAAAAGACCGAAAAAGTCTGTTTCGTGGGGCGGGAGAGGCGGGAGGAGTTGCAAGGCCCCCCCGAACTCGGCCGCGCGGAGGTGCCAGGCTCTCGGAGGTTCACCTGTTGTCCTGCGCTGCCATGTCTGGTGATTGTGCACTTCAGCGCCTGCAAACTTTCTGCTGGATGGAGTGTCACCCATTTTTCGTCTTTCCAGACTCCTAGTGGGGAGGTTTGGCAGGGAGAGGAGATCGCTTGCGTCAGGGGAGGAAAAATGTGCTCTGTGTTAGGGTCTGGCGTCTTGTGCCTTGTGCTGCTCGGTGCTCTCGGCGGTTTGAATTTGGGCAAAGAGCTGCGGGTTCTGTTTTTGGACGGTTAGCAGCCTGCTCGGAGTGCACAGTGCGGACTTGGCACGTTCACCTGTGTTACGTCATGTGATCCTGATGAGAACCCTGGTCGTTGCATGCCTGGTTGTTTAGACGAGGAAACCGAGACGTGAAGAGGGTTCAATAACTTGCTCGGCGAGCTAGGGTTTGAATCAGGATTTTCCCTGCTGTTCAGGAGCTGTTAAACTGAGGCATTCGATGAGTTTGTTTAAAAAAAAAAAAAGCAACAAGAAACTCTTTTATGTACTTTTACGTTGAACAGCACTTTTCGGGCACCCCTAACTTGAAATGATCGCTATTTTGTTGCTTGAGTTGCAAACAACTCGTTGATTGTATTTACTCGTAAGAGGTGTTCAAGTCTGAATTAAAGTAGAATGTAACAGTGCTTATCACTGTGTTCAGCGGTTGGAGTAAAGTTTGTGAACCAGAATTATTGAAGTATTTAAACTTAAAGCTAAAATACAGGTGGTTCTGAGCTGGGTGTGGGTTTACACGAGGCTAATTGAAATTTAGAATGCATTTTTACAGAACCGGTGTCCTGCTTCTGTTTTGTTTTTTTCCTCCTGCACATTCTCCGTGGAGCTCATTGCAGACTTTTTCGACTTCCTTCACTTCTCCACACCCTTTGATGAAAAGACTGAGGCTTCCAGACTCGTGGATTTTTTGTCATCTGCTGCTTTTTTCCCATCTCGGTGGATGAATATTTTTTGTCCTTTATGCTAGTTAACACCTTGTTTCATTTTTCTCTTCTTTCCTACCTAGTGGAGGATAAATTATCCTGTCTTTTGTCTTAGGGTTCTGAAAAGAACAAATGTGCTGAAGGTTCCTTCAATTTACAAAAAACCTTACCTGGGATCCACTACTCCCTCAAGCTGCCTTGTTGCTGCTTTTCCTTTTCAAATCATATCAACATTAAAAAAAAACACAAACAGTTTTGTCCTTAGGAAAGTAATACATGTTCATTAAGGAAAAGTTGCAAAATAGCCCAAATTGAAGTAAAATTAAAATTCAGCCTTTCATAATCTTGTGATATTGCCATGAGTAATTTGCTCTTTCATCCATTCGCTTCTTTACCCTGTTACCTGGATTTCACCCTCACAGAGGTCACCTATAACCTAATCAATGTATTTGAGTCCCCGTTCAAAGTCTCCCTGAGCTTTTTGTAGCATATAACATTGACTTCTCCTTGAAATGCCTTTCCTTGGCTTTCGTTCATCCGTCTGTTTCTGTAATGAATGCTTACTGTGTTCTAATGCACCATGCGAGGCAATAGGATGCAGCAGTGGTTGGGGCCCTTGCCCTCATGGAGCTCAAAGTCTAGTGGGGGAGACATATTGAAAAAGAAATTCTAGAATTAAATATAATTGTGGTTATAATTAAGGTGCAGAGCATTCTAAGAGCTTAAAACGGGGACCTGACCTGTTGCTAGTGGTGCTGGGAGAATCTGAGGCCTTCTTGAAAGTCCTGCGGTGGAACCTGGGACAGTTCTGAAGGATGCGTGAGAATTAACTAGATAAAAAGAGGAGTTCTATGACATTAGGCTGACTTTGTTCATCCCTGCCCCTTTTCTGCTTTCTGCTCTTCCTTCCCACTTAATAAAAGTGTTCTCCAAGTTTCACTTTTCAGATCGCTTTTCTATGTGTCTCTAGTCCCTTGACCTTATTATTATTCAGACCCTTCTGTCTGAAGAATTCTCAGATCTTTATTTTTTATTTCTCTCCTGCACTTGAGTCCTGTTTTTCCAGCTGCTTTATGCATATCTGTACCTGGTGGTTCTGGTTCAAACGGAACTCCTCTTCCTTACCAGACGAGTTTCCCTGCTCTTCCTTATTTCTGTTGACGTCACACCGAACCCAGACCTTTCCCGTTCAATCGATGGTTCTGCTTTCAGGGTATTGTCACTCTTCTCTGTAGTCCTGCTAACCCTGGTACCATCCTTAATAAATGTTGGTATCAGGGTTTTAATAGACTCATAACATGAGTTGGGCAGCTTTCCTTCTTTTTCTCTTTTTAGAAGCAATTTAGACTGGGGTTATCTTTCACTTGAGAATTTGGCAGACCTCAACTATAAGACTATTCAGACTTGGATTTTTTTTTTTCTGGCGAGGACTCTGAATAACATTTCAGTTTATTTAATACTTGTTGGTCTGTGTAGGTTTTCTATTTCTTGTGTGAATTTTTGTGTTTAATAAACTCTATTTATTGAGTTTTCAAATCTAGTGTTATTCGGTTGTCACATAGTTCTTTTTTTTAAACTTTGATACATATTTTTATATATATTACATACATTATTATATATTATATATGAGTTTGTATACTTGATAAGTTTTCCTTTTTGGTCTTTTTTTTTTTTTTTAACCGAATAAAGTTCTCATCCTACTGGACTAATGTTATGTTCTTCCTGCCTTCACTTCACCATTGTCCGGATTACCTTATGCATTTCTGCCTGAATTTTAATCTTTCTTTTTTTTAATAGCCACTTTATTTTAAGCCCTCTTTATTTTTTTCTCTCTAAAAAAATTTTTTTTTTACTAAGTTAATTTCAAAGCCCAGTTCTTGTCACTTCTCTGCTCAGAAGTTTCCAGTGTCTTCTGTTAACTGAAGTCCTTTCCATGAGAGTTGCCTCGGATGCACCTGATCTCGAGTATTTTGCTTCCTGCAGACGTTCCTTTCCCCCTGCTCTCCTGCTGTTGCTTATGCTGTCCCCTCTGCTTGGACTGCTTATATGGCCAACTGTCATATGGCCAAGTCCTACCCGTTCTTCAGGCCCCATTTCAAATTCCGTCTCTTTCTGATCTTCCCCATTTTCTTCTTCTGGATGGAATTCCTTTGCAAGGGATTTTTTAAGGCTCACTGAAGATTTTTTTAATCTAATATTTCTTATTGCAGTTACTTGTTTGCCTTTTTAAAAAACCAGCTTTATTGAAGTATAATTTACATGTAAGTGTGTAATTTATATACTTATACATATTTATATGCACACATGTTAAGTGTGTAGTTCCGTGAGTCATTTGGTCTTTTATAGCGATTTTTCTACAAATAATCAGGTCTGAGACTAGACAGCAGCCTGGGTCTCTAACTGACTTGGTTTCATATTAAAGTGAATAAGTGCTGCAAGGCCCTGTGTGGCCCAGCGTGGCTGGACGTCGGTTACAGCAGCGCCCATCTGACCTTTGGATCCTGGGAGCAGGGAGCTCCGGAGAGAAAGGAGAATAGCTCCCTCTCAGGCTGAGTTTTGGACTAGAAAGTCTTTCCCTTCCTTCTTTCCTCTTCCACCTTTGATTAGTGTTTATGCTTTTAGAATGCTTTTTTAATCCCTCAAGGTCCATATTGGCCGGGTCAGTCCAACTTTTAACACTTAGGAGATTAAATGTTTGGTTGCATTGAGTACCATAGTTTTTTGGCCACTTATAAAGAAATACGCTTCTAGTTAATTTTAAGAAGCCGTTGATTGTAAGATGCACCCTAATTTCAGAGATGCTAAAATATGAAAAATATATGTGCCTTAGCACTGATGAATAGGGTTTCTGTTGCTTATCCAAACTCCTGTTCCTTTAGTGTAGCTGTTGGGGAGAAGAATTTAAACCCACTTAGGTGGGAGTGACTTAAAGCTCTCCTGTTACTATGAAAAGCTGTTTTTTAAAAGAGGGTGCTTGTTAAGCCTCTTTAACAAGTAAAATGTTTCAGGCGGTATAGAGAAGTATTAGTTGTTGGATGGGGTCTCACACAGCTAGACACGCCAGTC